TTGTTTTTATACACTTCGCTGTCAACGACGATGGTGCCGAGCTCAGCCTTAGGATCGCTTGACGGCGGCGACGGTGAAGCATCTGCGGGCTCGCGTTATCTTCCCGCTTGGCACACGGCCAGCCTCGAATGTCGTCCCTTTTCGCTATTTCTCCCAACGGGCGTTATATCCCTCGCGCGGCAGCCGCGCAGTTATTTTCGCCGATCTCGCGGTGGTGAACTGGACCCATGAGACCAGTCATGGCAATAACGGATCATTCCGAATCATACGTGTTGGAGATTGCGTAACTCTCTCTTTCTCTCTCTCTCTCGCTCTCTCTTCTTCACTTGCGATAATGATGTTCTTCCTTCGGAAGACACTAATGTAATTCATTAAGGTGAGGAAAAAAAAAGGAGGAAGATGAGTGTTGACGTATCGTGTTGCAGAAACTGGAACGCAAGTCATTTCGGGAGTCTGAGAGTGCTCTCGTTTTATTAGAACGGAGTCGTTCACCTGTGCATGTTCGACTACATCCAGTGGACCGAATATGAAAGATATGAATATGGATGATAATCTTCTGATAATCGGTATTAAGTGATTAAATCGTTATATTACCAGATGTCTTCTATAATCTCGAATCTATTCTTATTAAACGTAGAAACGATATTTACGTAGATAAATAATAAATTATGAATATCGAAATAATGTATAAATCAGATCACTATCAGATTGTAATAATAAATAACTTCCTTTTTAATTTCCCCTTTTAGAACGGACAATCCGTTTTTTTATCGAAATTTGATCTGTGTATAGCATAGAAATTTAGTTTTAGATAAAATTTTTTTAAAATTTTATTAGATTATCATATTCAGAAAAAATTAATAATTTTGAAAATGCAAAACATTAAAAATAATTGCAAGTAAATATTTTTGGGGAATCTTTTACGTGCATTTATTGTCCGTGAATTTATTAGACTTCGGAGAAACGCTGTATTGCTGTATCGCTTTGGTACCGATTTCGAGCAACGCCAAGAACATTTCAGAGGCGTTGGTGGGTCAATTCGGCCAATGGCACTCCCCGTTTCGTTATACACGCACCAACACGCACAGTATTGCATTCCGTCGACGTCGTCGTCGACACCACGTCCCTCCTTCGCGGTATTCGAACGCATGTGCGTGTGCGCCGTCTTAGGGAGGGAATAAGAGTGCGTACCTCTCAGCAATAATAACCATTAAGGCGTGAGAGAATGCGGGAGCTGACGTCACCCATTCAACGTTTGTATATCTATCGAACGCTGTCAAACGCAGCCGTTGCGAGTACAGTCTGCATGTTAACGCGCAATGTCGATACGTGTAACTCGACGTCCTTGAGAGTATCAGCAAAGATGATATCAATCCATCAGAAAACAAAATAGAAGACATGTTTCGATACTTTATACCATCTGCCTATACAAGATTTCAAGGGAAGGCCGCAGACGTGATTAATAGTTGTTAAATAAATCTAAAACCCAAACGTAAAAAAATCGCTCGTCTATCTCATGTTTATTCCGTTACGTCTAATTGCTGTAAATTGTCGCTGGTGTAAAATTTCCGAAAGATAACTTTGCTGTAAGTGGCGAAGCTTGGCGGATACACTCGCGGAATGTTGGCACAGACTTGCCAAGGTATGAAGCCGGCTTCCGGGGTGAGGCAGAACGATGACTCTTTCAAGAACAATGCTTCTCTTGTGGAATCTGAACTTGTGTCAGGAATTTCGTATCTTTCACCCACCCATTACGAAACGTTGCTTTCCCACGAAAGGGAAGTGAGGCTTGCCGGAACAAACAAAGACGCGGGAGGTCAACGCGAGGGAGAAAGGCGATCGATAAAAGGAACTCCGAGATCGTTAAGACGTTTCCTTTAGCACCCCATGTGCTACCATATTTTCTCGAACAACGACGAATGATCGCGAGGTACATGCGCTTTGAGAAACTCTTCTGAGAAATCCCGACCGACAAAAGGTCTCCCTAAGATGTTCTTACGTTTACAAAAATAATGACATTAATTTTTTATTGTCTCCTATTAATTTTATATTTGTTGTATATTTAATTTTTTTATATAAAACCAAATCTTGATTCGACATCGAAGATCGAATATGCAAGAGCTTTCGTTGCATCCTGTAATTCCCGAGGATTTTGGTTTGTATCTATTTTACGTGGAATCCGAATGGCTCCAGCTGCAGGAGAATGTCGTAAGCGGAAGTCAATTTCGATCCAACGAAAATTCAACGAACCCGACGATCTTCCTCCTCCTCTTCCTGCTCTTCGTTTGAGAAGGAGTTATTTCTGACGCTCACGTTCCACGCGAAACCGCGGATCGCTCGATCGCTGTAACGCTAACCGCGAATGCACCCTGACATTTTCGCGACGCGAGGAATGTTTTCTACACCTCCCGGTGTCAGTAATTTACGGCTACACCGTTGATTTGTGGGACAAAACCCCGACAGTCCGTCTGTGCCCAACCCTGTCTTGTCGTCCTCGTTGTTGAAACGCACGTGAGGACACTGCGGCAGGATGACGTGTCTGGCAGGAGCAACGTGACTGAGGTCTTTCCTATCTTTTTTTCGGGTATGCCGTCACAGTATGACATCAGCGGGGTGGAAAAGCGTGCTTACGATGCAAAATGGATTTGCGGTTTCCGCGCACATCCGCTATTCTCCGTGGATTACGTTGCTCGAATTGCCAAATGAGACCGACTGCGGTAAATGCTGGGCTTTTCTGTTTCGCAATCCGATGAATCGCAGCATTTCTACGTTGATTTACAAGAGGAAAATCTTGCCTCTCTGGAACTGACACCTAAACATAATAAACGTATGCCGGAATTGTCGATTACATTTTTCATCCAGCTACTACAGTGCTCTTTGAATTCAAGATGGATTTTGACAAGATGCTGTTACAACGAAGTTTTTTTTTTTTAATTAAAGCATTTTGTCAAAAATATTGTATGACTACTATAAAAAAATGGCATTTTTTTATATGCTTCCGAATTATAGATGTAATACAGAGCAAGAAAAGAACCTAGAAAAAAGAGATTCTTTTCTAATTTAAAAAGAACGTAATTCTAGCAATTTCATACGAAGGCATATTCCGAGGTAATAAACTTATTCAGAAAACGGAAGACTAATTAGAGGGCTAGGTTAAAAATGTCTTAGCGAGAACATCAGTGGTCACACCTTAATGTATTTCGTAATGTATTTCGTGTCCTCAATTTAAATGCGTCGTTCATTCGATTAATGTGCTTAATTTTACCTTTTAATTAACTTCGACAATATTCTCCAACTTTAAAACTCGTTTAATAAACACTTTTGCTATAAAAATGGAAATAAGATAAAGAGTCGATTTTATTTAATAAAAGTTTGAAAGAAAAATAATTTTTATTTCCGTTAACGTCAATTTTAGTTAATCATATATTCATTTATCTAAAATATGTGATTCTATAAGTATGTTAAAATACAAAGATCGTTACACAAATACATATAAATATAAATATACAACAAAATACATTACAAAATTATTATTTTCTAAATTATGAGTGTGAGATTTTTTTCGAAAATAATGTAAGCATACTGCGAAAGCACATGTATTTGCTGAGTGAATATGAACATAATATTCCACGATATTAGACTGAAAGAACGCGTGGGTGCCTACGAAGCTATATAGATTGAGCAATGGGACATTGTGACGCCTATCCGCGTGTATAGTATTAGTCGTTGCTAAGGAAGTTCGGGATAGAATCACAAGATCGAAGGCTGCAATCTAAACTGGTGTATGTAGTAGTCAACTATCAATTCTCTCGTATCCACATGGGGATCCTTCGCTCACTGGAAATATTTATTTTTCCGAGATAAAATATTTTTTAATATCATGGAACAAAGAAAATTCATACGAAAATATAGAATATAAATATAAATATTTCACGAATTTTTCTGCAAAAGGACACTTGATTTCTATAAATAATTATTATTAAGTACAGTTTTTGTTGATTAATATAATTAGAAGTACATAATAAAAACGTAATAAAACTTGATGGAATTTATTTGATATAGTTCACTGTATTTTATTTTACTAAAGCACGTACTAATCGACAAAATCGACAGGTTTGCGTCGACGATTTCCAATCACGACGGGCAACGATTTAACGATCTTAATTCGTGTAATTGCCGGATGCTTCTTAGCGTTTACACGGCTGATCATCGAGTCAGGTTCGACCCATTTTTTCCCGTGCCACAGGGTGTGGCTATCTCGATTAAAATCGAACGACGTGTACAACGCCTTGGCATGGAGACGTGCCTTGTGAAAAAACAGAGCAGAGCTGATAGCAGACACGCAGGGAGGTCGGTCTCTTCGGTCAGTTTAATCGTGATTTCTGCTTTGCATTGCCGGCGAGAAGCCAGCATTGACATTGCTGAAAAAAAGAATGATTATTAATAGAAAATCGCCGGGTGTATTAATAGAGGAAACTTACTTGTGTCGCGCGCTAATATTCCGTCTATCCGAAATCGAGCGCATGGTCGTGCACCAGAAATCTAATTTCGATCACCGCACTATTATCCCTTTTGGCTTTAGGACACGTCGCGGTTTGCGGCTTCGTCCGGGAATCCGATCGCTGACGAATGAATTACAGGCTAACCGCTGGCATCCGCGGTTCAGCGAATTAACTATTTTGGCGATCGAACTGTCGCTTCGGGAAAACATAATTAATTTCACATTAATGTTTACTTCGATGTCAAATGATCCTCTAGAACTCTTTTATCATAATTTTACGGATGGATGAAAGTTTTATTGATTTTATCGCGCAAGCAGATGGTCATGATAACTTTTTGTATTAAATTTTATCATTTTTTTAAATTAATTTTTGTTACATTTTAAAGTTAATGAATTATATACAAATAGTTTGATTGAAAGTTATAGTTTATTAAACTAAAAACTATTACTTTTGCATTTGAAAGTCTTTCACGTCATGTTGTATCTTTTTTATTTATAGGCTTGTGTAAACCGAGTAAGAGTGCAGAAGATCCGGAATACGAGGATGACACTCCCATCGACGAAGAGGATGAGGATGACGAGGATGATGAATCTGACAGTACCGCCGAAGCGCCTCCGCAAATCTTATCGCATGGACTAAGTATTCGCGAACAAGCCGGAAATACCGTTAAACTGCCTTGTCAAGTAATTCATACAGGTTTGTAAAACAACTCTTTTATTTACTAACCAGGACGACGATGCTTTAGAAACATTTCTTTGTTTTTCTAAAATTGTTTTTTAACGGTAAAAGTCGTACAGCGTTGTACTGCGTCAAATCTTCTTACGATAAGAAAAATATTTATAAGAAAAAATGAAATAAAATAATTCTGCATATATGAATTAATTCCTCCTGCAAGTTCTTTAAGAAACCTATCATAAATGATTTCAGAGAATTACGCAGTCGCATGGATGAAAGATGATAAATACTTATACGTCGAGGGCGAACCACACATAGAAGACTTTAAGAGGATCGTCCGATTGCCGAATAACACTTTGGTGATCAAAAATGCGTCGGTCGAAGACTCCTCTAACGATTATAAATGTAGTATCCTACGGAATCCCGATCCCATAGTTTTGACTCATCGTCTGCTGATCGATCCTAAGAGAACGCACCAACAACCTATAGCCTCGTCGACATCATCACCGCCGCAACACTCGCACAAAGGAATCTTACGCGTAATCCCTTCAAGAAGGGTCGAGGTGAATGAGAGCTATAGCGTCATGCTCGGTTGTGAGACCGACATACAGCCAACACCCGAAATCAAGTGGTTTATCGAGGTAAATATCATTAAAAACATCATCGATAACTCTTTAACTCCAATACTTTTATCATTTGCTCTATCGTTTTAAAAATACTGAAATATTCCTAATTACAAATGTAAAAGATATCGCAGGCGGAATTTAAATAAGTTGGAAGGCAAAGTTAATTTTGTTGTTTCTGTATTTTTAGAACAAAAAGGTGAACAATTACGATCCCAATATAATTCTGGAAGATAAATATATTACGATAAAAAATGTAAACGAATCTCATAGTGGAGTGTATCAATGCCTCGCTGAAGATGGTTCGAAGATGCCAGCAGTGGAGGCGATTACCGTCGTTGTGCGCTGTAAGTTAATTGCTGGTTCAACGTGACCTATTTAGCTCTTGACCATTTCGCATAAATATATTGACGTTAGCGATTGACGTTTTCCGCTTTTCTTGACAGATAAACCCAAGATAGAGGTGGAGAAAAACATAATTAATAGCGGCGAAGGTATGGAATCAGAAATAACATGCATCGTGAATGCCTATCCCGAAGCAACAGTACAATGGTACAAAGATGAAAAGAAACTTGTACATAAAAAGGGATCGATAATGATACGTCACGGGGTCACAAAAGGTAACAAGACCAAGCACCAAGTGAAAATCTTACAAACCTCGAGACATGATTTCGGCGAATATAGATGCCAGGCGCAGAATATCCTTGGTCTCGACTCCAAATCTATCATTTTAACAGGTATAATTGTTACATGAAATAAAATAATTAATTGTTTTAATCTCCTTGATTCTAACTCTACAATTCTCAGAAAAACTTCAATATTTTATATAATTTATACATACGAGAATTGTAGAATCAAGGAGATTAAAACAATCGCATTTGGTTTTCATGAAATACTAGAGAATTTATATTGCAAATAGATTTTTATTTACCAAACATATTTTAGGAGCGCCCTCAAAAGCGATGATATCTGGCACCGAGGTGACCAGTGACGACATGGGAATTATCCTAAAGTGGCATCTGGAGAGTTATTCGCCCATCAACGAATATAAGGTAAATTAAGAATATAATTGTTTTATTAGAACTTCTGAAATAAAGTCTAACAGACGCGAGACACAATTTTCCAACTTGCAGTTACAATATCGCCGTATAGGTGACGAAAAATGGAATGTCATTGAACCCGAAGTTAAAGATGGCAAAGGAAATCAATTTGTCGTAGAACATCCGATGCGAGAACTTCAGCCTGGATCTTACGAGGCAATCCTAACGGCTAGAAACACATTCGGATGGTCTCCAATGTCAGAAAAGCTTTCATTTACTGGGGGTACATATATTATATATTCATCTATTTATACTAATCAATGTAAATTTCATCTATTTATACTAATCAATGTAAATTTCATCATACGTATATTCAAACAATGTATTATAAATAATACTAAAATTATGTTATTTCTTTTTTAGAATATCCACCTGATTTGGCGCTAAAAGGTAAATATAATAATAATCTTACTAAACAAAACATTTTTTTTCATTCTCATTTCTTAATTTTTTATTTACAGAAAGAAATTCGGCAACTGTTCGATCTTCCGGAACTCTTCTAGCATTGATCCTAGTCGTTTTATCTTGTGCCTTCACAAGTCTGTAATTCTTTACTTAAATCTAAATACGTAGGTAAGTACGATGAAAATGCATCAACGAATGATAAAAACTTAAATTCAATTAAATAAATTTTTATTCGATTTGTACGCAGGTAATTTGCTGCAGCCAAAGCAACACCAGCAAACGCCATGGTGGATCTATTAGTGTAGGGACACTTAGGGGAGGCACAACGCACACATATAGTTTCAATACAAATTTTATCAGGATGTATTTTACTTACATATTATGTATGTAATAAATTTCTTTCAAACACACGGGCATTATTGAGACATATTAACATGTTATGTAGATATATAACATGTACGTGTTGTATAGTCGAAATTTCGTGATTGGCATACAACTCGCCTAGGTGTTCCATTAAGACGCGTTGTAAAGAAAAAAATGAGCATTTTAATTTTACTCCGTAAAATCACGAATAATTGTTAAGGGATATTGTACTTTAAAATATACATATAATTTATATATATATATATCTTTATCCATTTATACACACATATATATGTACGGTACATATATACGTGTGTATATATACACGTAACATAGTATTCACTATACATGCGTAAGCTCACAGAGACACACAATCATATTATTATAATTTATTTTTATATGCTTAAGATTATTAGAAAGATATTCAAAGATATGTCGCTTGGTGCCATGTACACGGATCTATTACTTCCAAAAAACCATGTACAGAATTTGAAAGATCTGTTGTCCACAATGCATATGTGGAGAGAGCATGTACCTAAAATAATGTAGTAGAAAAAAGGTAAATGTTATTATAAAAACGTACGCTATACTTTGTACGATAATGTAACGTGTATAACCGAGTCGACAACAGGCGTAAAGTTGGGAGCATTTATACTGCAATTATCGTACAAGAATTATTCATTAGCATTACGTCCACGGTCCCGTATGTTTGCTCCCAACGAAAGTGAATCTGTTTTTTTATTTACTCCTACGTTTTTCGAATATAATGTGATGCGCGAGTAACGAATGTAATGGAATGAGTATGCGAGAGAGTGATATTCTATAGTGTTTTTCATAATAGTTTGCTAGCTTTTAGTGCCGATATGTTGTTATTGATTTATAATTAATGTTATACACACAGTACTATAAGTAATCATAATTGTACAAGAAACTGCCCATTTTAACGGTGTGCTGGTCATAAATATGAGTTACACATGAAATAGCCATATATCTCTTCTAAAATATTTAGAACATTTTTTTTATATAATGTATCTAATTTAATGTTTTTAAAAGCAAAACATCTTATATATATTTTTTAAATAATCATAAATATGAATTATGTAGACCTATGTATTATTATGTGATTATTATAGAAATCGGATCATTTTGTTGTATTGTCTAGAATAGTATTTCTCTTCTAAGATGACAAAGTAAAATTTTCTTCACGTTTATAAAAATTATACATGCTTATTAATAACAATATCAAAGAATGATTTTATAGTGTACTTACTTTATTATATCGAGTTATACTTTTTGATTTTTGTATCCATGATTTTACAAGATAGAATTTATTTTTAGGAGTGAAAATGGCTATGGGAAAGTTGTGCAACTGAATGAACCTAGGGAAATTAAATCTGTTATCAGCCTATTTGATTATTAGTTATTAAAAGTT